GGGCCTGGAACTTGCTCTGGGCCATGTCTACAACTCCCAGAACTTACCCTCAGCCCTGCCCAAGGAGGGCTAACCACATCCCAATATGCTGTCCTTAAAGGCACAAGGACACCTGACTGTTTGAAGAGCTTTCTTTTTTCTGAAGGTAAGGTTGGACATTGGGTGGGCACGTAGTAGCCTGAAGATGTCCACTAAAATTCCTAGCTTGGTTATCCCACACAATAGTCTGGGCACTGCTCCGAACAGGCCTTATTTCTAAGCCAGATAGTCCTGGGTCGTCTGTGAGGCCAACAGCAGGAGGGAAGGGAAGGCAGGGGCCAGATGAGGTAGAAGCCATCAGAGTTCACCAGTGAGAAGGTTTAGATCCACAGTGCTGTCTGGAAAGATGAAGAGACCACAGGTCAAGGGATGTGGACAGCCTTTCTGGAGAAGCTAAAAGTGATATCCAGCTGACAGCCAGCAAACCTCAGACACCAGAGGCACATACCAAAGTCTGCGGACATCTGAATGAGCCTGGAAAGGGGTGTGTCCCCAGAGCCTCTGCCACCTGCCAGCACCCAGAGTCTGTGAGGCTCTACCAGAACCAGCAGAACCCTATGATGCTGGACTCCTGAGGTAGTAAATATGTGCTGTCTCAAGTCACTAAGCATGTGGCCGTTTGTTAGCAATGGGAAACTATTACAAAGCATTGTGGAGCACTCTGATTATTTTTTTTCTCAAGACAAAGCATCATTAGGAAGCCCAAGCTGACCTTGAACTCACAATCCTCCTGCTTCAGCCTGTCAAGTGCTGGAATTAGGGGTGAGTGCTACCACACCCACCTGCATAGTTCTCCTCTTACCAAAGCATTTGAGAGGAACCAATATAGACTGTATTGGCCAACCTTCCTTCCTATGAGAATAGCGGGAACTGGCTGGGACTTGCCACCCTTCCACGTGCACCCTTCATCTCTCATCACCACCCCCCACAGCACACACACTGTAGCATGTGAGGCAGCAGCCTTGGTCTCTGCCCTCCAGGAGCTGGTTGCCAGCCCCTAGCCTCAGTTACAACAACAAAAACATCTCTAGATACCAGAAAATGTCCCTTGGGTTGAGGAGGTGGGGCTTACCCATGTAAGAATTGCTTTTTAGGTAATCAGTCCTTTAAAAATGTAAAGCAGAGCCTGGAGAGATGGCTCAGCTGTTAAGAACACTGGCTGTTCTTGCAGAAGACCTAGGTTTGAATCCCAGCACTCACATAGCAGCTAACAACTGTCCGTAACTCCAGTCCCAGGGGATCCGACAGCCTCTTTTGACCTCCACGGGCATTGCAGGCAATACATGCATATAATTTATAGATTTTTGTTTTGTTTTGTTTTTTAGAAGAAGCATTTCATTACAGCTTTAACATACTCAATAACAATTTCCAGAGCAAAGATACATCTCTTTCAAAAGTGGCTGTAAAATTTTTAGGTTCACAGTTGAATTAATACAGTTATACGATATTGAACTCAGTATAAACCCTGTAAGACATAAAATTGAATGAGTTTTTAACCTTTAAAAAAGATCTCCATTTTACTTTAAAATACACTGTTTCTTACAGACTCATTGTTTTTGCTAATAACACTTAGATCTTGGTACATGTGCTCTAATCTGTATGTATCTGATTATCACTTGTCATGGTCAATTGCACTCGGATCCTCGGCACCTGTGTATGTCTATAAAGTCATCGGGTAGATTTCAATGGTAATGTTTATCACCTCCACTACGTAACATGACATAAATTTTTATGCTTCCTCCTCAAATATAACTCATTTTTTAAATTTGTTGATTTTTTTTTGTGTATATCACACAGACCATCCCAAACAATCTTATTCATCTATATACCCACTTCCCAGATGGCACCCTCCCATAGCCTCTCCACCCCCCCCCAACTAGAGCCCTTTTACTCTGTTATCCCTGCTACTGTCTGCTGTGGTGTTGGCACCCCCAGCCATTCCCCAGTACTAGTCCATCTGGTGAATCTAGTCAGCCTATCTAGAGGGCTTTGTTTTAGGAAGGTCAGCTGTTCCTCATCTAGCAGCAATCAGTTGTCAATATTCCTTTAGATAAGATTGGGGTCCTCTGTTCATTTTCCCAGTTTTAGTCTGAGTTACTATCTGGGAGTCTCTTGGGCCACCCTGGCCAACAACTCAACTCAACTGTCCGTAACTCCAGTCCCAGGGGATCCGACAGCCTCTTTTGACCTCTGCAGGCATTACACTTACCTACATGCAGGCAATACATGCATACACATAAAATAAAAATAATAAAATTTTTTTAATTAAAAAAAGAATGTAAAGCAAAGAGTGTTTTCACAGAAAACACTAATCACTTAGCACTGATCAACTGACTAGCTGTTTACTAAATATCTATTTACCTCTGTGAGCTTGTTAATACACTGACAGAGTTCAACTGTTAGCAATTAGTCCTGAGCTGCTGTGATGAATACGCACATGCACACATATACGTATGTACATATGCATGTGTATACATTACATACACGTTTTAATGTCAATTTTAAGTTTTTCTTTTAAAATCTTTTTAGTATTTATTTTTATTTTATGCGTATGAGTATTTTGCCTGCATGTATGTAAGTGCATGCAGTGCCTAGGAAGCCATAAAAGGGGGTTGAATCCCCTGGAACTGGAGTTACAGATAGCTGTTGGTTACCCTGTGAGTGCTGGGAACCAAACCTGGGTCCTCTGGAAGAGCAGGAAGTACTCTTAACTGCTGAGTGATCTCTCCAGCCCACAATTTTTAAATCTTTCATGCAGTAGACATGCATTGCTTCTATAATCAAAATAAAATAATAGGAGCTTGCTTAGCAAATCAGTGTTTGCTGCATGGCTTCCTCAGCTAAGGTTAGGCAGTTGAGGTCTTTCCTTTAAGGAGAACCAGCAGGGACAGAGGCAGGCAGGGATGTGGTGGAGTAGCTCTGGGCCACAGCAATGCTGGGAGGTGATGCCGGGGACAGTGTAGACAGCAAGGAGGGACACACTAGTTCTCAGGCCCCAAAGCAGGGAGCAGTTAATGCTAGCTGAAGAATCAATGGTAGGGTTCGGGTGGGCAAGGGCACTGCAGCTAGACAGGCCTGTATGAGTAAGCGGCAGTGACTCGACATGATCAAGGCCTACACAAACATGCTAAGGCTGGCAGCTATGCAGGTTTAAGAAAGTGCTGGGGTTTGGGGACTTTGTTACATGACTGTGGTACAGGTCTGAAAGCATTAAGCAGTTTCCTGAAAAGCCTGCAGCAGCCTGGAAGGTCAGGCACCGCAAGCCAGTTCTTTTATCCAACCCCAGGAAAAAGCAAATCCAGTTTTACAACCTCTGGGAGTCCTTGCAAGAAGCCCAACTTTAGAGAGTGAGGCAGTCCCTGAGACCTGTGTATGCCATCCCAGACCCTCTGGGCTTGTCATCTGCTCCAGGAATCCCAGCCCACTCACTCGGTGGGACCAGCTCAGATCTCCTCTCACCCACTCTGGGGGGTCTGCACCTCCATCTCACGAATTCATCTCCCTGCACGCCCCACAAGCCTTGCCGGCCCCACTTTGGCCACCCGCCCCCCTTTGGCTGGGACATCTTTGCTTACATCCCTGTGGAAGAGCCTGGTTCCTCCCCACCACCTGAGGCCCACCAGCCCTTCACAAAGGGAAGAGAGTGGTTTTTACTGAGTATCTCCCATGTAACCCATCTAAGCCTGGCCAGAGTGGGATGAAGTGGATTCTAAGAGCTCCACACAAAAGATCAGAAAACATACCCACAAAGGCTAGCTGGCTGCCATTTGGCATGTGGCTGGTAGAGATTTGAACTTGGATCTGCTTTACTCTAAGAGACATGCTTCATCTTCCATTTTGTTCTTGGACTTGAGTAAGAGAACCCTTTGCTGGGAGTCCCACTTTCTGGATGCCTCCATGGCTCTCTAATATAGTTTGGATAACTATTCATCAAAGGTTGCTGTGTCAAGGCTTGGTCCCTAGTGTGGCAGTATTAGGAGATGCTGTGTGTCTTTAAGACTTCAAGCCTAATAGCCATTCAGGTCATAGGGGTCTGGGAAGGGGCTTGTGAGATGTCAATGTGTTTGTCTCTCTCTCTCTCTCTCTCTCTCTCTCTCTCTCTCATCTATCCTCTATCCTCTATCTCTCATCTATCTATCTCTATCTCTTCCTCCCTTTCTCCTTCTCTACTTCTTTCTCTCTCTCCCTCTTCTCCATGACTCCAGATGTGAGTACACACTTCCATTGTGATATCCAACCCTCAACAGAGTTCCAAACCAATGGGGCTGCTCCATCTTGGACTTGGACCTCTAGAACAGTGAGCCTGAACAACCTCTTGCCTTCATAAGCAGCTTTTCTCAAGCATTTCTTTACAGTGATACAAAGCTAACATACCCTCCTTTGGCCATGCCAAGGACATGTACAATAGCCTGGGCTCCCCCAACCCCAGCCTACTCCCTTAATTTCCTGCTTCCCAGGCTTGTGCAGACATCTTCACATGATCCTTTGGATAGTGCATGGTGCCACACACATACACACTTACCCCATCCCCTCCCCCATTTGGCCTTAGTGGTGGCCAAGGGGAAGCCGAGATGTGGGGACAGCTTGGACATACTGGGCGGGGGGAGGTGTCAAAGCACAGGGCTCCTCAAGATGTAGGTGGACTTTTCCAGGTGGTCAGATTTTAACAAGAAGGCCAAGGGCTGAATTACAAGAAGATCAAGGTAGAATTCTAGAAGATGAGTCATCCATTTGTTCATTTGTTGACTTGAATTTTTATGTTACAATACAGAAATATATATGTATGCTTTATTTGCACCTTGTCCTGGGGCCACCAATTTGAGAGCCTCTTCCTTTGTTTATTGTTTGTGTAGTTGAGGGTTTTGAAAGAGAATGGAGATCTTATTCCCCAGGTGAGTAGAGACAGCTCTGTTCCCTCCCGTCTGACTGTCTTAATGGATGACCATGGTGGCCCCAATTACCTTTTCACCATCAAGAAGCTCTTTTAAAATAACTTGTCTTTCCCGGCATAATTCCAAGAAATCTTCTGAGTGCAAACTTTCATGCAAAGCAGGAAAGAAGGTCAGCTGCGTGCAGTCTACCCCCACCTCTTCTGGTCTGCTCTCCGCCTCCTTTGGTGTCAGTTCATCTGCAGTAGTGAAAAAGGACACACGGTTGTGGCGTGAACCACATGACATCACAACAGGGAACATGCATCAAGTACCTATGTCCCCGAGAGGGGCTGCAAGGCTCCAGGCCAGAAGGACTCAGCGAGTTCTGTCTCTTCTGAGAAGGGACACTGCCACCTCCCCCTGAGTACTGTTCACACAGCTGCAAAATGGTCACCTGGATGTGCTCAGCCTCGGCCCCTCTGTAGTTTTCAAATGGATGCATGGCAACATTTCAGAATTTATCCTGACCCATGGAACATCTCCCTTTTGATTCATCCAGGATTTACTCTTTCTGAACATCACTTTTACAAGAGTACTGTTGATATTTCCAAGTTATAGAAGCTCATCTTCTTGTTTAAAGAAGTTGGGGATGTCACAATATGTTGATAAATGTAACAAATACCATTCATGGGAAATCTGAATGTGGTTCGTGATATTATATAGCTACTGAATTAGAGGCAGGATCTGAAAGAGGAGGGATCTGGGTCCAGAGTGTGGTTTCTCCCTCTTCAGTCTTTTGGACTTCGCTATTTGCAAGAAGACTCGATTGCCTCCAATGACTTCACTGTACATATGTGCAGATGTGATTCTTAACATAAGAATAATATTGCATTTGAAAATTTTCTTGGCTAGTATTTTTCCACCCAAGATTATATCAAAAGCACTTTCTAACCCATTTAAAGGTTTTGAACAATTTAAATGGTGTTGGAATATTCTGTTCTGTGCCGATTTCATAATCAACAAATCCCTGTCCTGCTCTTTAGACACTAGTTGCAACACCAGGAATGTGCTGCTTAACATGTCTAGATTTGCTTGCTAAGGACAAAGGCATCTGGGTCCACACTAAGCATCTGCATCTTGCTCCTTCTCCACACATGTGTCCTGAGCATTTCCCTGCCTAGAACAGGCATGTTGCTCATGACTGCAAAGTTATAAGTCATTGTCTTTGTGTCAAAGCTCAGCTCTTGGACCACATCCCCACCTGGAGGTCTCACATCCAGAGGCACGAAAGTATCTGCTGCTCCTAGAGCCAGCCCTCAGAGGTTTTTTCCACTGTACAGAGCATGTTCCTGTAGGGACTGGCACCTGGGAGGGGCAGGTGGAGAACCACAGGTCCTTTCTGTTCTGTTGGCAGAGATCCCTATTGGGACTGTGCTGGAAACAGCAAGGAGGCCCAGGGTTATGGGTGCCCAAAGGTTCTGTATATCAGGGCCTAGACGATGCAACAGGCCATCTATATATATTCAGCACACACTTCCTGCCATTGCACTTTCTTAGTCCCTACCTTGGAGAGGTAGAGCAGGTAAGGATACCTGTGATGTTGGAGCTGGGGGCTTACAGTGCAGCGAAAAAAAGTAAATGCACAGTATATTGTCACCCCAAATCATGAACTGCAGTGGAATCCCAAAGTCAAACTGGGGTTGGAATCTAAGAGTCTCAGTTCTGGGTTTGTGTTATTGCCAACTAGCAGGGGCAAGCTCAACACCAAACCCATTACTTAGGCAGTAAATGAGCCAGCTTCATCAATGCAGAGAAGATCCCACCAGGCTGAGGAATAGACTCTGACCACAGTCCAGGATACAATAAAACTCACCGGCTAGGTGTGTGCAAACCAAAAGACAGTCATGGGTGAAAACACAAAATTTAAAATTATAGGTGTCTTGGTGTATGTGTACACGCGCGCGCACGTGTGTGCGTGCATGTGTGTGTGTGTGTGTGTGTGTGTGTGTGTGTGTATTCTGTGCTCTGCCTAAATGATTTAAATCCTGGATTTTCGGCAAATCTACCAAGTTCCTACATGTAAACCACAAATAAAGGGGAAGCATTCACATCAATAATGACTCCACATGTCTCCTTTGAATCTCAGATATATCAATGACTATCATGTAAGTCATGTTTTATAATCAGAGAGTTCAGTGTGATAAGTATTAGATACCTGTCCCATCTATTTTTACCTAAGATTTTATTTTTCTCCTACATATTTTTGATCATTTATTAAACTTGCATTTGAAATGCTTTAGGACACTTTTGGAGTGTACTCAATATAACGACTGATAAGACCCCCCATTGTTATGATTCTAAACTTATTACAAAATTCTCCCACTCACAGAGGTCTGGGTCTGAAATGAATTCTTCATTCTAGAAGTGCAGGATTGAAGAGCTTGTGTGGCTATCTGCTCTAGTTTTTCAGCATTCTCTTCTCCCAAACATTAATTTGATATCTTTAACTAGATACTAAAATAAGCTATCAATTGGTTAAATATTGAAGAGAAAAAGATAAATTAATAATAAAAAAAGATAAACTGATAAACCCAAACCTTGATTTTCAACACTGCTTTGAGAAACACCACCTTTTCCATCTTGGCTCTCCTAAAATCGGACCAGAGAAAAGAAAAGTTAAATCCTGAATATTGTATGTCCCTCTCCTTTTCCACAGATATGCAGATACATATGACCGTAAGCAAATCCTTCAAGTTGATCTAGACTCAGGTGCAAGGAGAAGAAAACACTGACTCCTAAAGGACCATAGTAAAATACAAGCATTAATGTGTCTGAGTCAAAGGGGAAACCCCACAGTCTTCCATTAAATAGGACTTACAGTAATTATCAAAGATGATGCCAGGACGGATTAGATAGTGTGTTGGATATCTGCACATAGAGAGGGGATAGGGAAAGTATCTGGGGCTAGATGGCCCCAGGAACCAAAGTAACCCACACAATACACCAACAACTTTTCCTCCTGCCTCCAAATCTCAAAAAATGTATTGAGGAAAAAATACTACACCCCACTAGACATCCACTGATGATAGTTAAAAATATGTGTCTACTGAATAAATCAAATACAATTTTCTCATTTGGTTTTCTGAGGAGTTTTATCGTGGGTAAAGATGCTGGGGCTACAGACTGAAGAACAAAGTCAACATAGCACATTGGGATGGAGGAGGAACTACCCAGCATCCCACTACTTGGAAGGCTGCCTTTCAGAATATTTTAAATTATGATTGTTCTATGAGGACATGGAAAATTATTGCCAATTTTTTTTTCTTTATCAACTATAAAATGAATCCAATTGACTTTTAGCCCTTAAAAGACAAAATTGTGTGTCTGATGACCCAGTGTCAACTTCATTAGAACATAGTCTTGGGAACCTCCCAGATTCCTCTGCTTAGAAGTCAATACAGCCTGGATGCTCTGTGGACTAAGTGGGTCACTGGTTTGAGCTTGCAGAAATTGCTGAGTTTGAGAGATTTTCATTGTAAAACTTATTACCAGATTTGTTGGCACAATAAATAATTTCATAGCAGGTACAGATTCCAAGTGCTAGTGACAAAGGGCTTATGCAAGCAGGCCATGGCCATCACCCGGATAGAGTCCCCTGGATTTCTATGAACTGCAGTGTGGTGCTGTGTCAGGGCATACACATGATCCCTTCACACACGCATCCACCTGCTCCTCTATCCAGTCATTCAGGATGGCCGAGGGGTTAGTGCCTCTTTTCTTCTGCTTTAAGAATAAGTGTGGGAACTCCCCTGCACTTAACTATGTTCATTCTGCCTCCCATGAGGTTAGAAGTCCACAAAGCCATTGCCTTACATACTTCCCACCATAAGTACCCAGTGCCTACCTTGAGGCCTCTAGGGCTCTGGGCCTTCCATGGAGACAAGCGTCTGATGCGTTTTCTCATGCGAGCTGGTCCTTCTCTTCCATCTAGTTCCCACTGGGAACAGGATGTGGATTTTGCCATCTGGCCCCACAAGCCCAGCTCCCCAAAGAGCTGCTCCTGAATCCTGGCCCAGGCCGTGGCTGCCTTCATGTTGCCACATTTCCGCCTCTGGGAAGCAGAAATAAAACACTTCCCTTGGATACAATTTCCTTACAGGCCTGGTCCCAAGTCTCCTGTGGCAGATGGAGCTCCTCATAGAGATTTGAAAAAGATGACCCTTGAGGTAGCCCTGAGTCCCCACAGGGTTATACAGTGCTCTCTCTGGATCGAGGACCAGGTTGGAAAAAGCAAATGTTTCTCAGCTTCGAGATCACTCAGATCCAGTTGGGAAAGGAGAAAACTGTATGGCCTTTGGTCTTCAGAGTCATTAGGGTGCTGTTAGTGCTAGGTAGGACCTGGGATCTTTCCACAGCCCCTGCCTTCCCAAATAATGCTGTCCATACTTCTGTCTAGTGAGCCAGACTGGTAGCAGTGACCAGCAGCCCTGTGGTGACAGATGATGTGAGCAAGTCATTCCCTTCTCTAGACTTCAGAATCCACAGTTCAATGTTCAATGAGAAGCTTGGCTAGGATGGTATGTGAGGACTTTTACATCCTAATACCATACACTTCTTGATTGTGTAAGGGTTCTAGAATAGTCATAGAACTGAAAACTTTGATGTTCATGCAAATAATCTGACATTTGTGAAATCCTCAGTGTGTGGAGGAGGTTTCTACTTTCACACCTTCTAAAACGATGTTGAAGATTTTTATTTAAGTACATCAATACTTAACACTGTTTTTGTAGGCTGGTTCCATACAGCACACATCAATGAAGCCCTTCAGTCTAATACCGGGTGTGGCAGCACACACCTTTAATCCCAGCATTCAGGAGGCTGAGGCAGGCTGATCTCTGTGAGGTAGAGGCCAGCCTGGTCTACATAGTGAGTTCCAGAATGGTTGAGACCCCCCCCCCCGAAAAAAAAAAAAACCCTCTTCAGTCCATTCGGTCTAGTTTGAACAGCAGAATCACATTTGCAATAACTTCTGCAATTATTCAAGTGTTTGATGGTATTTGCCCTAAATTTTAAGTTTTTAGAAAACAGAGGTAGGGCTGGAGAGATAGTTCAGTGGTTAAGAGCACTGACTGCTCTTGCAGAAGACCCGAGTTCAATTCCCAGCTCCCACATGGTAGCTAACAACCATTCATAACTCCAATTTCAGGGGGATCCAACGCCCTCTTCTGATCTCTGAAGACACTGCATGACATGGGTGTACTTATGTATATGCAAGCAATACACATAATTCATACACATAAAATAAAAAAGTTAAAAATAAATAAAACAGAGAGGTAAGCATGGCAATGAAAAGAAGCAGTCTGAAAAACCCATAAATAGAAGGGAAAGGGGCTCATGCCTTGTGCTGAGCTGCCCATCTGCTGGGCTTTGTTTCCTTACCCAGTGGGCACTGTGAACACTTTCTACCATGCCCCTGAAGACATTAGTGACTTTCCCAAAGTCCAGCAGCCAGCCACGCTGAAACCACAACAGTCTGCAGCATTCCAGAGCCTTCACTTAAGTCTGCATGCTGGATTCCTTTGCTAGGAGCCCGTTGTCTGTCATCTTAGAAACTCATGACTTCTGCTGCCATGACTTTGGATCTAGGCCCTGCAAATCTGGGTTATTTTGAATGGGTAAGCCATTCTCAGAAATTTCTGGAAGCATTCCCATGGAAACATAGCTGAGAGGGTGGTGCTCAGCAAATGGTCTCTGGCGTCCTGTGAGCTTGGGCCTGGCCATGTTTCTTCTCTTTGCCAGCAACTGAATTTGAGAGAGTATTATTACTACAAATAACGCTAATCCCACTCAGAACAGGATTCTCTACAGTTTTAATTCACATCTCAAACACAGCATTTTATTGAGAGCTCTTACTGGCTCACGAGAGACCCTAGAAAAAATAATGACTGTCCAAAGCTTTCTACAGACATTTGGTCATATGAAATGAATACTTATTTGGGGGAAATATTTCATTGTTTTTGTGTTTGTAGTGATATATTGAGCTTCGGGGAGGATGAACAATCCCAAGCTATTGGCTTGTCTAGCGGGGGTCTTTTAAGAGCACCTGCTCCACCCCCAAGGCTCCACCTAAGCAACCTGGAATCACCCATCTGTCCAAGTCTTCATCATGGGGCACACATGCTGGCTTGCATGTACACAATCAATGAAATGTATGTCAATAGGAGATCCCTGAGAGGTAAAGAACTTTTAAATCCATGACAGCAAGTTTCGTGTGGTCCGAGGACAGAATCCCAGACAACTAAATTGTACATGCTCTGCATTCCCACAGCTGCAAAGGTGTGCTGAAATGACCATATTTCTGCATAGGGTAAGTCCTCTTTCTGTTCAAGCCATAGTAGGTCAAGTGTTACTACAGGACTCAGGCAGTAGCCATTGCAAAGGGTCACAGAACAGGCTAATAAGCATCATCCCCAGGGTGGCATGGTAGAGGCCCAGGTAGAGGACACAGTGCAGAGGGGTATATTTGACCCCTCCCACCTCCATCAGACACCTGTGTGGATCAGGTGACACAGTCAGCCCTGAGCAGGTATAACCCTGCAGGCACATAGCTTGATGCTAAGACTGACTCTGTACAAATTAGAAAGTGACCTTGTTTCTGGATGGGCAGCTCAGTGAGCAGTGTGGATTTACCTCAGACTCACCTCTCACCAATGTGCTCTTGAGCCTTAAACTCACCAGTAATCTCATACATGCATGTGTTTGGATGGGGGGGATAGAGAGAGGCTCAAAACAGAAAGAAGAGAGGGAAGGAGGAAGAGAGAGAGGAGAGGAGAGCTAATGAGGAGGAGAGAGGGAGGGGAGGAGAGAAGGAATGCCAGTCACTTTGGTCTGGCTCTGCTCGAAGCCTGCTGCTCACCTGTATTCTTCAGCGTTTTACTTGTCGCATAAGCCAGTTAAAGTTAAGTTTCTGACCTTTGCTGCTCCCAGTCACTTTGGTCTGGCTCTGGTCGAAGCCTGCTGCTCACCTGTATTCTTCAGCATTTTACTTGTCGCATAAGCCAGTTAAAGTTAAGTTTCTGACCTTTGCTGCTGGAAGAGCTATAAAAATGCTTAATAAAGAGAGAGACTGAGTAAGAAATCAAACAGCCCATTGGCTGCTGGAAAGTCCCAAAGGGAGCACACCTCTCACCTACTGAAAGGAAGAGCAGTTCTAGGGTGACTGGCCTCTTACAAAGAGCTGTCTTACTCTTAGGTGGCAAAGGCAAGATGGGGCCCTTCCACTCGAACAGCATGGTCTAGGCAAAACAAGCACAACTTCTGCAGAGAAGGCAATGAATTAGGCTTGGACAAAGCAGAGGGGCATGTGAGTGGGGAGCTCTGCCAGGTGATATGGGGGAGGGGAGAGCTCTGCCCGGTAAGAGAGGGAGGAGGAGCTCTGCCAGGAATTCCAGGAATTCCACAGGGAGCCAAGACGTTGCAGGTGAAGGATCAGAAGCTCATGGTGTGCTGCTGATGTGACCATGGATACATGATGCTGGGGCTCACCTCCAGGGCACTAGGTACAGTTACCCAGCATGCTCTGGGTCCTGCCATCTCCAATGATTCTAAGTGACAGGTAAAGTGGAGTTTGGAGAAGTCTTGTGACTTGTTATTGATGGCTGTACAGTGGGGTTCCCCGACCTCACTGTTCTGTCCCTGGGAGAGGATCTCCTGGGGTTTACTTAGTGGGGACTGTCCCTGAGCAAAGGGTAGATTTCACAAAGCTGACTTCTGTCAGAGTTTGAGCTTGACTTCTGCAGAACTAAGTATGTCTGGAAAGTGCAATGTCCCTTTAAAAAGCGGGGTGAGTGCCCCAGACCCCATTATCTCCAGCAGACAGTGATTATATCTGCATTCCTTTAAGCATAAAAACAAAGTTTTAAATATTTAAACACTTAAAAATATGGATTACCTTCAAAAATGCTGATTTTTCTCAAAGAATACCTAACCAACAGTAAATTGCACAAATTTCTTGAGTAGTTCTGAATCACAGTCAGGCCCCACAAGCAAAGCTTAGCCAGACTGGCATTGCAGGAGGCTGGTGCCTCATCTCTGGGCTCTTCTGAGCCCCAGTCCTTCCTACAGGAGCCTTTAATCTTGCAGATTCAGCAAAACCTGGGCTGTCAAGGATGTCTCTCCTAGACAGAGCCTAGTGGCCCGGGCTATCCCAAACAATGTCGCACTCTTAATGAGATACCTATGTGAAAAACAATCTCTCTTACCTCAAGGTGCCCTAAAGTGTGATGAGGATGTCCTTAAAAATGGATGCTACCTAAGCTCCTCTAAATTCTTTCTCAGTGGTGACTAAATTTATTAGCTTCATCACACACCCTGGACAAACTCTCTGAATCTATATAAAGAGCTTACTGATGTGCAAAGGTATGTCCCACAGCCACAGACAGCACTCAGATACATCAGCAAGGCACCCTCCAGGTATGTAGTACAGTCTGCAGTGAGAAACCCTGGTCCAAACTAAGTCTGAATACCAACCTGTGTAGCTGGCAAAGCCATATACTGGCTGATCCCTGTGACAAAGGCCAAGGGCCCACCTCAAGTCTCACAGCTTTGGGATTGATGCCCAGGATGGCCTGGGAAGTTGTGCTGATAGACTGTGTAGCTGGATACAGGCTGTACATCTTAGGATATCCTAATACCAGGGACAGCCCTGGGCTCCTAAGCATACTACCTGCAGGGAACACTGCAGGGAACTAGACCAACAGATCAGTGCCTTTTCTGGGTACCTGCACTGGGCAACATGTTTCATCCTTTGCAACCCCCTTCCCCACCAACTGTACCACCTGCATGTATGTGTGTTAACATTAGTTCCTTTCATCCTTGGTCTTCTTATGATAAAACATTCCAGCCTAGCCACCCTGCCCTGTAGATTCTTCTTCACCCTTGGCCTCTCAACTAAGTTTAAAGCACCTTCAGGGCAGAACCACACATCATAAGTGCTTTGTTTTCTACACCTGGTACAGGCTTTGGAACAGAGAAATTGGTCTGTAAATAAGAGGACTAATAAGGTTTGGACACTGCATACCATGTTGTAGAATGAATGATCATTTAAAATGTTTTTTTATTAACACCAAGCAAAAATGAACTTCTTAGCCATTATAGATCACATATGGGCATCGGTTCTCTACCAGCCACAGTCTAGGGCTGTCATACTGTCTCCTTTAATCACCACAGCCAGGAAATAAGCCCTGAGGTTCAAGTAGGCCTCTGCCTGGCCTGAGGGTGCTTTGCCTTGACTATGCAGAAACCAGGCCTACATATGTGTTTGAAATGTCTACACCTGCCCTTATTTGTGATAATCCCTGCACTGAGGATCAAGTCCTGTGTGTACTGGTCCTGCTTCATCTTCACCCTCTGCCTCCCAGCTCAGACCCTCCCAGCCACTTCTTCCACTTTATCAATGGCCCCCAGGAGCTCCTTCCTGCCTGGGGACCTTCACATGTGTTCTTTCCTTGACCAAAACACTGTTCCCTAAAATATTTCAGCTCATCCCTTCCCCTACGCATCTCAGCTTAAATGCTGACTTAAACATATGAGTAGCCCAAATTAAATTAGATCCTCCCCTGTCATAATCTCACATTTCTTTGTTTAGCCTCCACCGTTAAGTTGTAAGGATCTGTAGAGCTGTGAAGTTATTTAATACATACCCCTCCTTTATAAACTTTGAAAGCATGAGGCTCAGTCTTGTGTCTCTACAGTCATGCTCCAGATCCCAGCAAGGTCCAAGGCAGCTCAGGCTCTAGTACCTAAATACTGAATGGACACAAGGCCCAGATCCTCTGCTGCTGAGGTGTGGGTCCTAGGCCCACTGTGCAGGCTAAGTAGGAAGGCCCATCACTGATGATCAACTGTTGACTTTTGCAGTCTAAAACTTAACCAACCAAAGCCTTCTGGTTAATTCATTCTCCCTCTCCCTCTGCCTCTCTCTCGCTCTCCTCCCTCCCTCCCTCCCTCCCTTCTCTTCCTTCTCTCCTTCTCCCTTAAGTTGTTTTTCTCCCTTTCCTCCCTCTCTCTTTCAATTCAAGGTGGCTTCAAGTTTGTTTCTTACCTGCACATGGTCTTTGTATAGAGATGCGTACAGCTCCTGTCCTCTTCTTCTGTAGTTCTCTATACAGGACACAAAATCCTGAAGAAGAAAGACAGCAAGCCACAGTTTAGTGATACTTGGGAAACTAGAGGCGCTTAGGATGCACTTCTCCACTCTGAACAGTTGCCACAGGAAATGACTGCCAAAGATCTGCTGGTCAAGTCAGTCACTACCTCTGAGCAATAGTTTCACTTACGCCCTCACAGCCACACACTAAGATACTCACATGCACACATGAGATTGCATCCTTCTCCATCTATGACAGACTCAACCTTCATTCCTAGACTAACTGTGAAAATCTAGCTTTGAATGACCTGCTTTAGGACAGTGGCAGGTGCAGGGAAAATCAGGATTTCATCCAAGATCCTGAAGAGAAAGAAGGTACCACACATATATACACAAATATCTAGGCATTGGAGGTAACATACAAGGCTTAAAATAATACAAATGATAGGATAAGAATGCAATATGGAAAATTTGCAAGAGATATGTAATCTATGGAAAAAATTATGAAATAAAAAATTAAATTTGTAAAATGACTTGAGACTGAAAGCTTTACAGATGGGTTTAATAAAACGGCCACAACTGAGCAAAGAATGAAAGAACTTGAAGAAATATCCTCCCTAAAATATGAGATGAAAGAAAGCCAGGTGTGCTGTTACATGCCCTTAATTCCCCAGTGCACTGGAAAGCAGAGGCAGGTGGATCTCTGTGAGATCAAGGCCAGTCTGGTCTACATAGCAAGTTCCAGGCTAGCTGGGGGAGACCCTGTCTCAAAAAGACCAAATATATATACATATATACACACATACACACATATATGTATATATTTAGGGAGAGAGAAGATTTGACAAAGACACCTTTGTTTTATGTAATTGGTGAAAAGGCCTCACGTATGGGGTACTAGAAGTTCAAAAGGCAAGGAAAAAGAATGGATTGGGTGGTACATGTCAAGTGGATAGGTGAGAGTTCTCTCACATGCATGAAAGACAGTAAAGCGCATATTTGAAAAAAATCTATATACCTCACAAAAGAAAAAGTACAGACAGCATCACTACTCAGGACAGGATGCTCATAGTAGGGCGGCTGAAAGAAGACCGAGTAAGGCAGATCATGCTAAACAAGGACAACAGGAACGGGCAGGCTGGAAGACAAGGATACATTGCCTTGTTTGCTTTTAGACAGTCTCCATGTGTTAAATAGAACACACAGAGATCTGCCTGTCTCTGCTTTTAGAATGCTGGGATTAAAGGTGCATACCACCAGGCCCAGCTGAGGCATTATCATTTGGCACTCAAAAAAAAAAGGAATCATCAGCTTCAAATTCTCTATCAAGTGAAAATACACTCCAAAAATGAAGAAAAACTAAAAAGGTGGCTTAGTGAACAGACTGACCGAAAGTGTCACCTGCTGAACAGCACCAAAGGAGACACTGAAGGAGCTTTGCAGGCAAGATGGAAATGATCCTGTATTAAAGCTGGCAGCCCAGGAATGAATGAAGAGCCGTGGGAAGGGGAGATGTATTAGTGTTTGTCTAAATGAGCACAGACTTGGAGAAACAACAGCGATATGGGATTTGAAATGTATGATAAATTAAAATATATTTAAAAAAACAACAAAAGACGGAGAGTGTGTGAGCTAACGTATTGTTTCTTTAATTAAAATTTCTTTGAAAAGGGGGGATAATTTACATTGGATGCTAATAAAGCAAGTTTACATGTTGTAGACTCTAGAGCAATCATTCAAACTATAAGAGAAAATCATTGGCCTCAGTGGCACCCATCTACTATCCCAGCAGTCAGAAGGCAGAGGTAGAATGATCACAAATTCAAGGCCAGTCTGGACTACATAATGAGACCCTGTCTCAAAAACTTGGGCTGACGAGATGGCTAAGTGGGTAAAGGTTTATTCTGCCAAGCCAGATGACCTGAGTTCGATCCCTGGAACACACACAGTAGAAGGAGAAAAACCATCCCCTACAAGTTATCCTTTGATCTCTACATGAATATGTGTTCCTTACCCTTCCACACACAATAAATAAATAAATAAATTTTTCTGTGCACTTTTTAATTGAAGTTTTTGTGTATTTCATACAGAAAATCTCAAACAATCCTAATCATCTTTATCCCCGCCCAATGGAGCCCATATACTCTGTCATCTGTGTTGAGCCCACAGTGTCAAGTCAGTGTCCCCAGCCATTCCCCAGTGCAAGTCCATGCACCGAGTCTAGTCAACCTATCTAGAGACCCTTTATTTTTTTAAAGTTTAAAAAATTAAGAACGGGGGAAGTAGCTAAGTTGCAGAGCACTTGATTAGTGAGGCTTTGGGTTCGATCCCCAGTATAGTAATATTATCAATACTGCTGCTGTTATTACTACCAATCATCATAATAATAGAATTTGTAACTTCCAACTGATAGGAAACTATGTAAACATATATGGACTAAACAATCCAAATAAATAACAAGCCAAGTTGGATTATATTGAAGAGGACAACTTAAGTGAATGGTGATCCTTGAAAATAAGGATACAAAATTGAAAATCAGGAGATGGAGAAAAGCAAACTGTGCAAGCCCTAACCAAAAGTAGCGGTTCAAGTCTGTCCGGGATGCCCATGAAACAGACTGTAAGGTAAGCACTGTCACTGGCACTTAAACCGATTTTTAAGATGGTGAGGGTCAATCACTCTAGATAAGTATAACTTCTACAAGGAAAGCACCTAATACTTCAAAACTTATAATGTGTAAAATAGCAGCTCACCTTTTGGGAACTAATAAAACAAGCTGAAAAGAGAGGTAACAGTACAGAATATCTAAAGAAAATGATAATCAAAATAAATAAAATCCCAGAAGAGTATTTTAATGCAAAGTGTTCAAATGAAATCATTATCAAAACTGACCGCATAATAGAACAGGAATGTTCTATCATATAATTAATATAAATAATTTCAAACAGTTGAAATTAAAAAGGAGGTACTTTCTGAACATAGCAGAATCAAGCTCGAAGTCATTATCCAAAAAGAAAATGCCCAAATCCTTATGATTTAAGCAACAATTTCTTTTTATTTATTTACTTTATGGGGTGGGCAATACTATAGCACCTGCGGAGGTCAGAGAACAACTTGCAGGAATTCATTCTTTCCTTCTACCTTGGGAGTTCCACAGATCACACTCAAGTTGTCAGGCTTAGCAGCAGGTACCTTTATCCATGGAGCCATCTCGCCAGCCCTTACTCAACAATTCCTAAGAAACTCATGAGTCAAATAGAAAGACTCAAATGAAAATTACAGAATATGTTGGAGTAATAAAAATGTAAATGTGACATAATGAATCACACATGATGCATCCACAATTGTTTGGTGGAATGTAAGAAAATGTGTGTTATTTATAAGATTAAATATTTAGCCTGTAATTTAATAATGTATTTCAAGAAGCTACAAAAATCAAATTAAACCCAAGGAAAATAGAGAGAAAGCAATAAAAATTAAGAGAAGAAATTAATGAACTAGAATATAAAATAGCTTTAAAAGAATAAAAATTGGTTTGTTAAAATTAACAAAAAAGATTTTTAAAAATTATAAGAGGTATATTACCAGAAGAGACATAAGACAATGAGACAGCATCACAAATCCATAAAGATTTAAGAAAATCGTTACAAATTTTATGTTAATAAGCTTGAACATTTTGAATGAAATACATTTCTATGAAAACACAGTTTTCCAAAATCAGTAGAAGAAAAAGTTAGAAAATCTGATTTGTCCAGCACAAAAAGTAAATCCATACATAGAATTCTGACTTATTTGAAATACATAAAATTGTGGGCTGGCAAGATGGCTCAGCAGTTAAGAGCACTGGATGATCTTGCAGAGGACCCGGATTCAGTTCTCTGCACCCACTGGGTGGCTAACAACCACCTGTAATTCCAGTTCCAGGAAATCTGACACCCTCTTCTGGCCTCCAGGGGCACTGCATGAACATGGTGCACTTACATACATGCATGTAAGGCACTCACACATATAAAATAAATTAATGAAAAAGTTTTAAATGTATAATCTAAATGTATGCAAATGCATGTAAACAAACTGTTGGGACTGTAAAGTTAATAAATGCAGCTATAACAACATTACTGCAGAAAGGAAAGTGGAAGTCTAGCTATACGGGGATAGCAGGTAGAGCTGGCTATACATCTGAGACTGACTCTGACAAGATGTGTAAGATGACCCTGGAACACCTCTGAGGAAATAACTACAAAGGGAATAGTGAAAAAACAAGACGTTTAAAGCTACGTTATAACATATTCACTCAATGCCAAACAAAGCACTACAAAGTGAAACAGAAACAAAAGATATTACATACATAAAAAGCACAGAAGTACAGTAACATGCATAAAACCAGCTATCAAACATGAAAAATGAAGTGTGCGAAAGCTAAACAATCCAATCCCCAAGCAGACTGTGAGTCTGGAGGAAAAGTAAACCAGACAAGACTGGATACTAGTCTCAGGAGACACTTCAGATTCAAAGACATGAAAAACTGAAATTAAAAGAATGGGGAGAGACACGTCACTAAAACAGTAACCGCAGGACGGCTGGGGTGGCCATGCTAATAACAGATAAAAAGACAAAAAAAAAAAGGGTCCTGCCTAAGGAAAGTAAGTGTTGTAGTTTGTTTCTCCACTGTTACGACAAAACACTCTGACCCATACCAACTTGGAGAGGAAAGGGTTTATTCAGCTTACATCTCCTAGGTCACAGTTCATCAGGGGGCCCAAGGTAGGAATTCAGGGCAGGAACCTGGAGGCAAGAGCTGGAGCACAGGCCATGGAGGAATGCTGCTCACTGGCTTGCTCCCTTGGCCCTTACTCAGCCTGCTTTCTTATGCAACACAGGCCCACCTGCCCAGGGGTGGCACCATCCACAGTGGGCTGGGCCCTCCCACATCACTCATCAAGAAGATGCCCTTCAGACATGGCCACAGGTCAGTCCAATAGAAGAAATTCCCCAACTGAGGCTCCCTCAACCCAGGTGTGTCAAGTTGATAC